AAGTTGATGCCTGCGCATGCCTTCGTACCTCAGGCATGCATACTGCATATACATGGGACATGCCAAGGCATCCACCGCCCGACGGACGGAGCTTCCCCCCATTTCCCGATCCTCCACTCCATTCGTCGTCATTGTTAAACTTACTACTGACTTATAACTATCAGCCAGCCACTCTCGGGTGACAGATACAACACTGTCTTCCCAACCTGACTTAAGCCCTTCAATTGTGGCACCGGTATGATATAAGTGAATATATCACTATTGGCGCATCATGGCGCTGGAGACGTCTGGCGGCTATGTGGCTCCCAGCAACCTCGCGGAACCTGGGGATTCCGCACTCTCCATGTTCGATGTCCGACATGTTCAGCTTCAGTTCCCTCTTGCAGCGGACTTTGTAGCCGCACAGGTAGCCAACAATGTGCTCATTCTAGCGTTATCAACTGGTCGTATTCTCCGTATCGACTTGGATACTCCCGAGGACATCGATGGTCAGTTCATTTCACCGCTGGAATAAGCCCATCGCTCCGCATCTTCTCACGTCGCAATGCTAATTGAGCTTCCTGAATTAGACATCGACCTTCCTAAGAAATCCTCGGAAACTGGAGTAATTCGGCGAATGTTCCTTGATCCCTCCGCCTCTCATCTCATCATCACAACTACCCTGGGCGAGAACTATTACCTCCACACCCAATCGCGACAACCTAGACCTTTGTCGCGACTGAAAGGTGTCTCGATTGAGAGTGTCGCCTGGAATCCAGCGCATCCTACAGCGTCGACAAGAGAAATTCTGCTGGGTACTACGGATGGACAGATCTGGGAAGCTTACATTGAGCCGTCGAGCGAGTTCTACCGGCGCGAAGAGAGATATGCACATGTCGTCTTCAAGGCCTTGGAGGGCTCGCCTGTGACGGGATTGTGGGCAGAGTCAATCCCAACAAGGCCGGAGCTGAGACGGGTGCTTATAGCAACTCATGGCAAGTTGCTAAGCTTCCTGGGGCGCACCGGGAGATACGGACGGGAGGGGGGTGGGCCTATTTACGCCGATCTATTCCAACGCGAATCGCCTGTTACTCACGAGATTCAGAAGCCCTCCGGTGCCGCACCGTCAATGCTGGCAGTCTCCCCAATTCTTGCGGATGCACAGACGACGGGAGGTGTGGCCGACAAAGAATTTGCATGGCTCAGTTCTCAGGGGGTGTTCCACGGACAACTCCCATATGCGCCTGAAAAGCTCAGCAAGCCGCTTGAAAGCGCAAGCATGCTTCCACGGTCCGTGTTCCCGGCTAGTGAATCTGCGCGCGGCGGTAAGAAGCTCATTCAGGATCCCATTACCGCCGTGACATTGTCCCAGTGGCACATCTTTGCCCTAGTCGAAGGCCGGATTGTCGCTGTAAATCGAATGAGCGAGGAGATCGTTTTTGACGAGGCCGTGTTGGAACCAGGGCAAAGTGCTTTGGGCCTCCTGACGGACGCGACGCAACATACCTACTGGCTGTTCACTAGCCGCGAGATCTACGAAATTGCCGTGGAGAACGAGGATAGGGATGTATGGAAGGTCTACCTGCAGAAACAAATGTTTGATCAAGCTCTGCAGTACGCCCGTACCAGTGCCCAGAAAGATGCCGTCTCCACGGCTTCCGGTGATTTCCTTGCGGAGAAAGGCCGATATCTTGAGGCGGCCACCGTATGGGGCAGAAGCAGCAAAGGATTCGAAGAGGTCTGCTTGACGTTGATCAACCGTGGAGAGCATGATGCGTTACGCAAATATTTATTGTCTCAACTGTCAACGTACAAGAAATCCTCTTCCATGCAGCGCATCATGGTCGCAAGCTGGCTGGTTGAGGTCTTTATGACTAAGTTGAACTCCCTCGATGACAACATTGCTACCCGAGCAGAGCTTGCCGAGGGCACCAGCACTGAGGAAGTGAAGGATGAGCTTGGCACTGTCAGAGCTGAGTTCCAGGACTTTGTCAATCGGTACCGGTCCGATCTTGACAAGAAGACTGCGTACGATATCATCAGCAGCCACGGTCGTGAGGAGGAGCTACTCTTCTTCGCCACCGCGGCCAATGACTACAACTATGTTCTTTCCTACTGGATACTGCGGGAGAAATGGACGGAGGCACTCAATGTTTTGCAACGACAAAGTGACCCGGACGTGTTTTACAAGTACAGTAGTGTCCTGATGACCCACGCTGCTGCTGGACTGGTCGATATCTTGATGCGACAGACCAACCTAGAGCCCGAGAGACTGATACCTGCTCTACTCAACTATAACAAGACGGTGAATGTCCCATTGGGGCAGAACCAGGCCGTGCGATACCTCAACTTCATCATTGTCAACCATCCGGACCCCTCCGCCGCCGTCCACAATACCCTGATATCAATCCATGCGTCCAGCGCCTCGACCTCTGAGGCGGGGCTTCTCACCTATTTGCAATCACAGCAATCCTCGCCCCCACCGTATGATGCCGACTTTGCTCTGCGTCTCTGCATTCAACACCAGCGCGTCCAATCATGCGTTCACATCTACAGCGCTATGGGACAATATCTTCAAGCTGTGGAGCTGGCTTTACAGCATGACGATATTGAACTCGCAGCAATTGTGGCCGACCGTCCGGAAGGGAACGAGAAGCTCCGAAAGAAGCTCTGGCTCCTTGTCGCGGAGAAGACAATCCGGCAGCCCGGGAAGGGTATCAAGGATGCCATCGAATTCCTCCGCCGATGCGAGCTGCTTCGCATTGAAGACCTCATTCCGTTCTTCCCGGACTTTGTCGTTATCGACGACTTCAAAGACGAGATCTGCAGTGCGCTGGAGGAATACTCTCGGCACATCGACGCTCTCCGGCAAGAGATGGACAACTCGGCACACACGGCCCGCCAGATCCGCACGGAAATTGCGGCACTTGACACGCGCTACGCTATTGTGGAGCCGGGAGAGAAGTGCTGGCTCTGCTCTTTACCTGTGCTCAGTCGACAATTCTTTGTGTTTCCCTGTCAGCACGCGTTCCACAGCGACTGCTTGGGCAAGGAGGTGCTCGAGGGCGCAGGGGGCAAGAAGAAGTATATCCGGGACTTGCAGGCGCAGCTCAGCAAAGGGTCTCTCAATGCGGCGCGGCGGGCGGAAGTGGTGCGTGAGCTTGATGGGTTGATTGCAGAAGCATGGTATGTTCTTGCCCCTAGGGCTTCAGAAGTGTCACTAATCAGAATGTCAGTATCCTTTGCGGTGACCATGCGATCAAGCAGATTGATCGGCCGTTCATTGAGAGCTCGGAGGGCGTGGATGATTGGGCGCTGTAGTCGCATTGAGTCGGGTAAGATCTGGTGATTTAAGCTTGAGTGTGTTGTGTAACGAGCGCGCATGATGGGAGCACTGCATTATGAGCGTGAAGCAATTTATCTTGATTGTTCTTTGATTCTATTTCCCAGCAAGTTGGATGGATATATATCTACTGCATGCTTGGGATCATGACTAGGCTGCTGCTGCCGCTGCTACGGAAATGACAGCCCATGAGCTAGCTACTTCGAATGCTTCAGATCCTATCTTTACGCCCACTAATTCCTCGAATGTTATTGTACATGTAAGATCATAGCGCCGCCCAACTGATTCAGACCATAGCCCCCTCCCCCTTGAGTGCACACCCACAAAGAAAAGTCCTCGATCTCCTTACCAGACCACCGATTAGGTCATGTTATTACTCAAACCCACAGACCGGCCTTGGAGTCTATACACTGCAGCTCGCAGGGCAGCATACACGTACAGCTCCACAATCAGATCCATCCCACAGCCGATCTGCGATCGACTTACAGCTTCAGAACGCAAGCCGGTATGAACTCAAAGCATGTACTATACACACACACACAGTCAGAGAATACCTTTGTCGCACAAACTTTAACAAAATGAATGCACCCCAGGACAGGTATACGGAAAGCCGGGAATAGGACTAAGTAGACTCTCCTTGTTTGCGGCACCCCCCCTCACATATGGCACATAGAATCCCAAAGCCTGTTGACGTGAGGACATATCTGCATGTGTGAGATCGGAATGCTGCACAAGGTTTTCGAGTGCTGCGATCTGGGATGTGAGATTGGAAGAATGGAGGACATCGAAGCTATCCACGTACTGTGTACAGTACAGTTGTTATATTAGGTGCAGTACATGAATGATCTAAAGCGAGACGCGAACTCAATGTTGACCTACTGTTTGTAGTTACCAAGTCATCTACTAGGATTGGACCATGGCACTGGGTGTATACCTTAATACAGCACTATCAGTGTACAAATATATGGCGCAAATAACTACTAGGTAAACAGCTCCAGCTCCAGCTCCAGCTACAGCAATGCAGATCCATCGAGAACCTCCGTAGTACCCACGGCGTATAGCGTACGGTACTTTCCCACCCGCCGAGTCCGTGCACAAGGACAACAATGGAACAATCAGCAGGCTAACACAAGCAAACGCAAACGCTCGCTGTTTTCCAAAAGGGGGTGGGGCGCGAGGTTTTGCTGTACTTTTGGTCTGGTTGTGTGTGTGTATGTGTGTGTGTGTGGCGTGCAAGGCCTGCGCACAGCAGCAGCAGCAAACAACAGGCCAGGTGTGCAGGTTGTTGGGGGCTGCTGCTGCATCGAAGCGCTGGACTTGCGTCTCCCCCTCCCCCTCCCCCTCCCCCTTGATTTGGAAGTTTTTGTTGGTGAAAAAGGGTTTGGGGATGTGTGTTTCAGATAGATGGGGATGGGAATTGGGATGGAGAAGGGTTAGACTCTGGACGTTTGGTGGTTTGGGCTAGGGTGGTACAAATGGGTGGTGTGTGCTGATGTATATTTAGATGTTCGATATTGATATCGATACCTACAAATCTGTATCTGGTTTAGTTTACTTTAGAGGGAGAGCGGGTAATCTTGCTGCCTGACGATGGTGGCTGCCACCTGTGGTTTGTTGGATATGCCGGTCAATTCCGGAAACAAACATTGACAATAGAAGACTGGGGAAGCAGAGGTCCGTTTGAATCAATCAGCCATTGATACACTTGATCGAATGCAATGGCCTTGAACGAAGTTTGTAGATCAAACACACACAAGTCGAATCCTGCATCACAGCCAACATCAACCAAGAAAACAAAAACCGTTTGACATCGCCCCTCGCGCCCTCTGGCCAATTGAACCGCTCAATTGCAAAGTGGACAGGCAGGCAGGCAGGCAGGTAGTCTTATGTGTTAGACATTTGATGCGCCACCACTGCATCTCCTGGACTGAACTGAACTGTTTGTCTTTGTTGAAGTACTGGGGATTTCCCCCCAATCCCGCCTTGCATAGGTTTGAAGCCGAAGGGATGGGACTGTGCTCTCTCTCTCTCTCTCTCTCTCTTTTCTTCCTTGGAGTCGGGTCGGTCTTCTTCATCCGAGTGTTTCTTCATGTTTCTCTCCCTCTCTTTGCCCCTCCCTCCCTTTGCTGGTGCATTGTGCATTGTGCATTGGAGTTTCGTCATCGGACTTGGTTTACTACCTTTACAGTTCTTACATTGTACAGTACATTTAGAAGTGGGTGAGGTGGGGGGAGGAGGGGGCAAGGGAGACACTGCTCCTGCTGCTTCTGCTGCTGCTGCTGCTATGTTACATATAACATATCAAGCATGCGGGTAGAGAGGATGTAGTCATGTACTGTAGAACCAGTTGCCACCGGGTATGTACACTACATATCCTTATAGTTGGTACATATCTGCGGTGCCTGGGTGCCTTGGTTTCTGTGGTTGAGGTGCAGAATGGGATATGCATGGTCCGTGTCCGATCGCTCATTTGGGGGAGATGGATACGAAGTACGAGTTGACTTGGTAAGTGAATTGTGTGAACTTGAACTTGAGACGAGCAGGTCTCCGGAAAGAGCGAACTGAGGGTCGAGGGGTCACATCTAGTCCATGATCTCCATATTAGTACAATTGATCACTTGACTGAAGTTGAGCGTGTTTTGGTTGACTTCTGTTGTATGTTGTTGCCGGACTACCGACTTGAAACTGTAAAATGTTGAGACAGGACCTAAAAATGAGACTCGATTGCGAAATCCGGGGAAAGTTGCCACCGGGTCTGAAATGCAACGGTAGACGATCACGAAATCCTCATACTCTGCTCCTCATATCTCTGGTTGCCGCGGTGTTTCTAGACGAAGAGTGGAAGGAATTGTTCTTGTTGACGGAAACGAACCTTGAGCGAGGTTGAGCCAGTGGCACAGGGTGGAACCACTTGGGAAAACCAGCCTATCAACACCCGCATTTTACCGGACCGCAGATCGTGCGGGGTAAAAATTGCAGACGATTTGGGGAAGTCGTTTTTTCAATCCATCCACCAATTCGACTCACGCTATCGATTTCGGCTCCTCTCCAATCCAACTTAACTTTACACTCTAGTCTAATGGGCCGATCCTTCCCCCATCCCCCCCCCCAGCTGATGCAACTTTTCGCAACTTCATCATGATTTTTAGTGTTCCCACCTAATTGATCGCGTGCTCCTCCTGAAAAACTGGATCGTTTGGAGGCCGACCCGGGGACTAAAGGTACGATCCCGCTCGCCTGGGGCTCGGAAATATGTGTGTGTGTAGGCATGCACATTGTTCAAGTGGGTGGAATGGTGGTGGTTTGACTTCAATGCTGATACGTAGCTGGGTTCGGTCAGCTCTCCTATCTCTCCGTCTATCAATCAATCAATCAATCAATTAACGAGGAACGGGAGTGAACTCTATTCCTCACATTAATGACCCTGCCAATTGGTGGACCATGCTACCCTGCTCGTTACTATCAGTACTATCTATCTATCTATCTCCCAACTTCAGTGGCTTCCTGTCCCCTTTCGGGGTGCACAGAAAGAATCGTTTGTGTCATCACTTACTCAACGACAACGACAAAAACGGGGAGTATACCCAGGTAGTATCTACCGATATCCAGCGCCAGACCCAGAGGAGAACAGAACGAAACCATCACCTTATCGTCCATTCGTTTCACAGTCTCTCTTACACAGCCAACCCGGATTCGTGGTTATCTGCTCGGCTGATGATCCCCGTAACTAATCACTGATAAGCCCATCCAAGGTTCACCCCAACCTTCTCTTGCTTCAGCCCAAGTCCGGTTTACCTACCGAGTCTCCAGGCTGGGGATCCGCAAGTTGTATCGTGTCCGCTTCGTGTCCCATGGGTGACCACACCACTGCCACTCGCCAGAAACTCTATGGAGGGGCGGCAGTGCCAGGTGACTTGTGAGAGAGTATCCGATAGCGGGCCAGACAGGCAACGATCATAACTTGCCGGAACCGAAGAGGATCCGAGAGAGTAATGGGGAGGAAGATCAGTCAGTCTGCCAGCCACCAACTCATTACAAAGAACTACTCCGTACTCGCACTAAAGTTGTCATTGTTGTTGTTGTTGTTGATGATGATAGCATGGAATGAGATAGGTGGTGTGGTCCCAGCCGGGGCATCGCGTGATACCCGTGTGAAATCAGCCACCTGGCGGGCAAAAAAAGCCCTTCTTCCTATCAGTGCCTGGACTACTAATGAATAATTGTGGGGGAGTGCCCCCCCCCCCCCTCCGGCCTCTATCGTTTAGTCAGAAAGCTTCCACGTAGACGCTTCCCTCTTTTTCTGCTTGCATGATCAAGACTCACGCAGCTTGAGAACTTGCCGTGGATCAATCAGTTCAGGCTGCAAGGACCAAACCTTAGCCAACACCGGAGCAGGAGGCGGTCAAGCAGCCACTAAGACACCGGCTGCTCACCGCCAGACATGCAATGCAGCCCCGGAAACATGCCAGCCACGGGGCGCTGCCACCAGCTCGACGTACAGCTACTTGGGGACACTGACTGACTGGCCATTGGGCAGGCCACTCACTGACTGGTCGGCTCTGGGGAATTATGTCTCCGAGCGTCAACAGCGGCAGGTCGAGCACGAATGCATCAACTGGTTGTTGTCGGTGGTGTTGTTGGTGGTGTTGTTGTTTTCATCCACCTGCATATGCGCACCTGGAGACGTAATCATCCTCAGACATCCCCGCAAAATTCTGTAACAAGACTGACGGATAATAAAAGTAATACTTCACCTACATATAGAATAGATAGGCAAAAAAGTCAGATCCATCTAAAATCCCGCGCGGTAAACAAACAGGACCAACGTGGACCAGGAGCAAGTTGTGCAACAACACAAACGGTGATTATTTCCCCAGTCTTTTTATGCCGACCTCCACCTATAGTTACTGTACTGTACATACATACATACATACATACAGTGTGTTGCATGTACTGTAAGTCCTCTTTGCCTGCCTGCCTGCCTGCCTTTTTGTAGGTAAATTCAGGTCAGGACCACCAGGTAACTCTAAGTATGTGTACACACACACACACACACACACACACATGACTCTCTTTCCCTCGTGGTCACTTGGCACACATTACTGAGCATAATTTAAGTGTGAACTAACTTTTGTTAGTCTCCAAAGTCATAGTCAAGCGTGATATTAAACTAAGTGGTCAGTGGTCAGTGGTCACCGTCTCAAGTGCTTCTCGAAATTATGCCATCGGTCGCTTTCCCCATACATCCGCGACCCGATCGTCGATGATCGTCCAGGCCCTCCCCCGGGGCGTCATTTTGCGTTCCTCCCCCCTTCTGCGTTGACTCGGGGCCAATCGATGGGGCAATTATTGGCCACGACGCCGCCCACTTGTTACTTGCTCGGGGCTGGCGTCATGCAGCCTGGAAATAGTGTGACTCCGGTTATCGGTGATTGGAAGGTTTTGGGGTTTGGGTGGTCATGGGTGGGCGATGACCCATAAATTGCCCGGAATGAGTCTAGGGTGCCTGTCGTCGTCAAGTTGCCACCCTGCTCCGCCATCGGCCGAGGGAATTCTCTCTAGGTACGGAGACAGTACTAATTTTATTCCCGGCTGAAAATGGAAAACATCGTCATCTTTTCTGTCGGTCGCCGATTTGCCGGTCGGAAGCGGAGCGGTGTTTTTTCCTTTATGATTGTTGTTTGAATAATGCCAGGTGGATCGATCTAGATCGAATTGGTCTGTGTGAGAGAGAGGTTTACGGTCTCCGAGATGAGGTCTTCAGTGTAAGTGGCTTGCTTGGTGTCTGGTCTGTTTTGTGACGAGATGCTTGATCATCCATTAACTATTGAATCACGGATGGCGTTACGCATTACCTGTCCGAAATATGGGGAAGGGGGGAGGGGAGGGGCAGGGGGATAAACCGACACTCTCTACGGAGTATAGCTTGACTTGCCCATCCCATCACCACAGACCGGTATGGCGCTCGCTGCCTGTCATCATCAATTATGTGCGTGTGACAGAAGTTGAATGGATTGACAGACACGGGAGGCATCCTACCGTGTAGTTCCCATCTTTCGGCATATTTTCGTACATACTGACAGGGAAAGAGAGACGGTTTATCATACCGATCATAATCATAATCCAGGATTTCTTCCTCTTCCCGATAACGATGGGGCCCGCGAGACCCTGCTTCCTTGGACCTGCAGGAACCTCACCTTAGTCATAGCGACGGGGCGGTCTTGGTGCCCATTCATTGAACTCTTATCTCGACAGTTTAGTTTGAACGGCTACAGGTGTAGTGTTGTAGTATCTGTACAGTACTTTGTAGAATATCTTCAGCAGCTTGTTGCTAGTGCATCAATTGACTTTATGCCTACCCCAATTGACTAGAGCTAGAGCTGCTAACTTACAGAGTACCTTGAAAGCAATGAGTTGTTGATCACGCCAGTTCGAGTGGGTGGAATCTTTTTACACTCTTTGTTCGCCCACGGGCCATGACTCAAAAGGGTTTTTTTCCCTTGGGTGAGTGAGGTCGGGCGCGGCGGCCGGTGGTGGTGGCCAACTTTCTGCTCCATCTCTTATTGTCTTTGACTTTCGGTCTGGATCGTGCGTGCTGTCGCGGCAATACCCGACCAGAATTACAGGTTATAGTAAACGTTAACTTACCAGTAACTTACCATAACTAGCTAATTCTTTACTTAGATAATCAATTATTCAATTGTTTACACCTCTCCAGTAACTATGGGTAACTCAAATTGATTCCCGCACGGCAATTCCATATTTTGGCGTTGTGTACGGAGTATTCATTCAATGGGGACAGAAGAAGGCTTGACGGCCCGGCAACCTGGCAGGGCAAGGGGAGGTGGAAAGGTGGATTGCGACTTGCGAGTGGATGGATTCGAAAAATAAGGGAAGAAGAATGCGTGGTCAGTGCCTGGGTGATGATAGGCAGGTAGGCAGGCAGGCAGGCAGGGTCACAGACTGGAACGCTGCTGAAACCATTACTCATACTTGTTGTTTGTCCTTTCCATTGAGTTGAGAGTCGTTCGGGTTGTTTACCATGACCGTTAATTAGCTTAACCACCTAACATACTGTCAGGTCTGGTACACACTATGTAAGATACAACTTCAGTCACGCAACCGCTCATTCATGATTATCTCATCCAGCCCATCCATTCTTTTCTCCGCTCTGGGGTTACTGATAGGCCAGAGCTGTTGTTGTTGTTGGTGGTGGTGTTGCAACATGGATTGGGGTGATTTGGGATACAGTACCGCGACCAGGGGGGGAGGGCATCAACAATCCCAAGGGTCCCCCGATTGATTACCTTTGCACACCAGGGGGGGAGGGGGAGGAGAATTGTACATGTAAGCAACAAGAAAGAATCATGGTGATGGCAATGGAGCTTGCTGATTCATCATTGAATTGTTGCCAGTCATAATCTTATTACTCAACATCCAGAGTAAACCGGGCGGATGTTTTTGATGACTGCCAGGGCCGGAGACATAGTGAAGAAGAGTACGTACGTGGATTAGAATGACGGATGAATCATTCAGGGGAGGGTGGAAGTGGAAGTGGAGCTTCATCTGGCCGGAAACGGGCTTCAGTTTCTCGACCTGCATCCATCATCTGAGTGAGTGTAAGAGAGACTCACTCACTCACTGTTCCGTATGTACAGTACTGTAAGTAAGTATGCTCATGTACGTACCAGTAAACAAGGTGGAGTGGAGACGGATGTTCAGGTGAGATTGGCTAGACTCGGCAGATGATTACCGGTTTTTACCACGAGGTACTACCTTGCCTAAACTTCCATTCGGGTTGCAGTGCTTTGTGCAGACAGGCAGGCAGGCAGGCAGGCAGGCAGGCAGTCAGGTATTGGTATGGTATGGAAAGTGCCAGTTATTGGCTGGCCGAGCCACCCATCGGTACTGTGGTAGGTTCCATACCATACCCAAGGCACGACAACGACGTAGGAGGTTCTCGCTCGTTCGCCCAGTTTCCAGTTTCCACTTTCCTTTCCTTTCCCTCCCCTCATGCAGGCCACAGTTGAGACTTGGGACTTGGGGGAGGCACACTGGGTTCAACCTCCATCCCCCCCCCCATTTTTCCATTCATTATTATTATTGACTCTGGACTTTCGCCCCTCCTACTAGTCCCTAATTAGGTTTAGTGGTGTCCCAAAGTGCTATCATCTCATCCGGAAACCTCCCCTTATCCCTATCGCGGGCGCCCGCCCACCTCCCCCCAATTAGTTGGGTTAGTCACTCACCTCTCAACTAATTAACTACTCGGGTCAATCAGTCATACCTACCTCTCCGTACTTACCTAGTCATCATCTCCCCCATTCATCTGCATTCCATCTCTCCATCTTCTCTCTCTCATCCTACTCTACCTTCCTACCTTCTACCTTTCACCTCCTTCCTTCTTCCTTCCCCTCCACCTTTCACCACCTCCCTCTTCACTACGTTTCGCTTCGCCTCCTCTTCTACAACCTCATCCGACCACCTTCCTCACTCCTCAGCTCCATTGCACCTTCCTACCCGATACTCCCTATCTACTACCGACTACCGATTCCCGACTCCTCGCCACCCCGTCCTCAACAACAACCCACCGCTCCCACTAGCTCTTATTCCATCTGCTCCTCTTCGCTCATCATCGTTGCGACACGATACAGTGCTTTGACAAGTTCCTCGTCTGATTAGACCAACGTCGTGATCTTCTCCACCTGCTCTACTTCAGAACAACCCGCACTGGTTTCGTCGCCAACAGCTTGATCGAACCTCTTTTCCTCGGCTGTCTCGTCTTTTGCCTGGCCTTCCCAACACCTACCCCCCGTGACTCATCCGTGCTCCCAAGCCAACCACGTCGAGAGCTTCCTCGGACCCACGTTTCGTCGACCTTACAGCAGACTGTCCTTTGAAGCCTTGCTACGTTTCGATTGCAGACAATACGTGTGAGGGTGTCGCTCCGCTCTGAGGTCAACACTACTTTGTTGTCCATCCGTTCGCCGCGCAACCTTGGCCGGGTGCTGGTATTCGGTTCTTCAGCTTGCCCACTCACGGGACAGAAGACCTTACCTACCAGTTGTCCACAGCCTCGGTCTCCTTATATAGTTTCCTACTCAACCCTCAGGACTATATAATCTATCGGTCATTCTATGACTCGATAGTCTTCGACCGCTCCCTCTCCTTCGAGTCACGACCTTTTTTTTCCCCGACCTTCAGCCTGGTGTTGGAAGGCCTTTCTTTGTTACGAGCCTTGTCTGTTATACTCTTGGTGTTTACGATATCTACGCAGCGTTCTTCCTCGTCATTTCCTTGTTGACCAACTGTCCAACCGCCGGACGTCGCCATTCACTTCAATCACATTCTTTCCTCGCAACATACTTATCTTCGCCTTTGGCCGTGGGCCCCTATTTGTGAAAACGATATACCGATGCACTCATAACAGTCTTTAACAACCAATTTCCTATCGTCGTTTGAAAACCCCCCAGGGTATCTCTGAATTGCGCTTTGCGCCTACTCATTCTCACCACTTTTTTGTTCACTTTTGTCATCATATCCTCTTTGACTTTCCGGTATTTATACGATAAATTCTGAGCCGACAACTCACTTGTTCCTTTTGTCGTTTCGTTCTTCTTCCTCTCCCCCCTCTCACCTTCCGACTCTTCTCTTTTGGATCTGGGTGGCCAAGATCTACTTGGAAACTTGAGCTGGCATAGTCTTTGAACTTCATTGTTAGCCACATCGTTCGAGGTTAATCCTAACTCGAGCTTTGCCAACCGACTACCTCAAACACGCTCTGATCAAGTGAGCCTGTTCCTATATTCTACCTCGACGACTTATCTCTGGGAGAACATCGTCCTGTTAGACTATACACATAACAATGGAGTGCCTCAAGAACAATTTTGTTGAAGGCCAGCTGTTGGACGGACGGTTCCGCACCGTCGCCCCCTTGAACCATGGATCTTTTGGCATGGTCTTCCTGGCAAAGGACTTACAGACTGGCCAAGATGTCGCCATCAAATGCATGACCAAGTCCTCCTCGGGTGACCCGTCGAACCCCTCCCCATATGATGCCCGTGCCGAGGAGCTGGAATGCCACAGACGTCTCAGGTTTCATCCCAACATCGTCAACCTCATCCATTCCTTCGAAACGGATGCCCATATGTATCTCGTTTTGGAGTATTGCTCGAATGGTGACCTGTACGAAGCAATCCGGCTCAACCGTGGTCCCTTGGAAACTGAACACGTGCGCGACTTCATGCTGCAACTTGTGAGCGCAGTGGAGTTCATGCACGCGAACGGCCTGTACCACCGTGACATCAAGCCTGAGAACATCTTCTTGATGCAGGATGGCTCCATGAAGCTGGGTGACTTCGGTCTGGCGACTCGGGAGGCTTGGTCCCACGAGGCCTGCGTTGGCAGTGATCGTTACATGGCTCCCGAGCAGTACGATCCCTCCACCGTCGGCTATTCCCCCGCCAAAGCCGACGTCTGGGCGATTGGAATCTGTCTGCTCAATGTTCTCTTCGCACGGAATCCCTTCGCCACGCCGACGGAATCCGACATCCTTTACGCAGACTACGTACGGGATCGCCAATCATTGTTCGACATCTTCCCCAACATGTCTCAGGATACCTTCGAAATCCTGAGGACTGCTCTTGCCATTGACCCTACGAAGCGTTCCCTTTCTGGCATTCGCGAAGCTATCTTGCGTGCTGTCACGTTCACGACAGATGATGACGCGCTGGACGAGTTCTGCACGGACGACCGCGAGGTGGTTGCCGCCAGTGCCAACCGGGAGCCGCTTCGGACCCCTTCCATCCAGAGCCCTCACATCAACCAGGGCGACTCCTTCCCTTGGGCCAAAGCTCTTCAAGCCAGCCCTCCCCAGACCTTCCGCCAGCTCTCCGCCATTCCCGACAACGAAAGCTACACCGAAGACCTTTTCCCTCCCTCGGAGATTGCTGGCACTTCGTGGTTCTCTGTCCACCAGGGTACCCCATCCATGGCTTCCGTTCTGGAGTCTGCTATGGGCGATTCTTTCCGGTCTCCTCCGTTTCGCAAGAACGAGGTTCGATTGCCACCTCCTTCCGATCCCGTTCCTATTACTGGCTCTTTGCCAAGCAATGCTACGAAGCCCCTGCCTTCTCTTTCCATGGTCTTTGGCAAGAAGAAGGAGGAGCAAATCTCCAAGAGCTGGAGTGATCTTTGGGATGAAGAGGAAGAATCTGAAGCTGAGGACCTGGCTTACCAGCAGCGTCGCGAGCAGAACTCACGCAGCTGGAGTCATGAAAGCAGCACGCCTGAGCTTCGTGGACCCCTGACTGGCCTCCACGAAGTTGTTAGCAATTCTCTCCTCAACGTCCGCGCCCAACAGCTGGAGACATCGCACGAAGACACCGAGAAGTTTGTCTCCAAGTCGTGGGATCCGAGGGCGGGATTCACTGCTATCAAAACCCCACCTCAGTCCCCCGACAGCTCCCCGCAGAAGTCAAGCCTCGACAAATGGTCAGCCCTTGGTGACCGTCGGAGGAACTTCAAGTCCCCAGAGACCTCTTCCGGAAAGAAGTTTTCTAGCAATATGAGTTGGAGGAAAGATTGGGGCTTAGGGTCCTCGGGCTTCGACTATGGTTCTTGGGCCAAGAAAGAGACGTTCTCTCCTTCGGATCGGGAGCGGCGGCGTCGTCCCTTCCAGGAGAAGGGGCGGCGTCGCGACGCCTGGGAGTCTCCCAAGGCCGCCCATAGCAAGGCTGCGAACCACTACGATGGCAGCGTCGACGAGGACCTCGATCTTGTCGGCGGCTGGCACGACCTTCATCTGTAAGGAGCTTAGCCCCACCTCTGGTGCCGGCGTCCGACGTTCCTCTCCAATTTATTGTATCGTCCAATGTCGCTGAGAAGAGCAACACAATAATAAATAAACATTCCAACCAATACTCCGACTTGTTTTCGCTTTCGCCCTTTCCACTCTTGCTCCGATGCATTTCTCCATGCGGTCGCCAAGGCCAGCATTTTGGCGCCCGGCGACCTTATTCACATTCAAAACCTATATTCTCTTCACTCTTATTACCCTATAGAATGTATGTGGCCTCCGTGCCCATCTATCTGTCAGTGTTTTCTGTTTCCTATTCTGTATAATATGACACTATTCGACGGAGTCAGCAGTGGCGGTGACGAGCAGGTCAAAAGTGACTCATCAACTGATAACTGGAGGGATTCTCCTCTTACTGGAGTGTTTGAGTTGTTTTTATTCACTCTTCTTCCCCTTCCCCCTTGCTCAAAAATTCTTTGTTTCTCTTCCTTCCTCAAGAAAAAAACAAAAGGTCCAATGCTTGGGGGTTCGTTGGACGACGACGCAGGACGACGATGGCGTGCAGCAGGCCGTGGCGCTATTTCCTTTACCCGGTTCTTACACATGAAAAAAGCAATGAACAAGACGAACAGTCGTTCTTTCATCCATTCTTTCTTTGGTCGGCTCTATCTCCCATGGAACAGGCTGTTGGACTGGACTGGGACATCTGTGTACTACATGTAATTAGCCGGAACAGTTGAGTAGCTAGTAGTGATGAGGCGGTTCGACAAGCAACAATGCGACAGGAATCAAAAGTGATTCTAGTATTCGAAGACATTCTTTCTCCCAACATCGTAGAGGCGCCGCCGTAGATACACGCTTGTAGAAATGAGAAATATCTTAGTGACCCAGCGTCGCGCAGCATGTAGCTCCTCGAGCTGCTAACGTGTTCTACGAAGATGAAACGGACTAGATCAAGGTTGGGCCATCATTGATAAGTGCAGGCTGAGTATTCCAATTGTGCCAGTGATAAAATAAATCCACAGAGTACATATCCTTGTCCACTTTGAGTATGGCTGAGCGCAGTGGTCTGATCTAGGTACGGCCGGCGCCTACTCTTCCTCGATCTCTTGAACAACTATATCGTCCAGCGCCTTCAATTTGTCGATTCCTTCGGTCGTCATAGGCCTGATCAGCAGATGAGAGTTAGAATCCTGTCCTCTTTCCAGAAACCATGGCACAATTTGGACCACTTACGGGGGATAACAGGTGGGAGGCAGGGCTCTATTGCAGATCCATACATCTTGCTTCGTGTCCGCCTTGTTTATCCTAGGTTGACCAGATTAACCACCCATGATCAGGGATCACCACGGGAAAGCGGGAATCCTTGCTCTGTCGCTTGCTTATCATTGCTTTCCCAGGCTTCGATGGTCTTCTAGGTGTAATAGACTCTCTTTTTTTTTTTCGGGCTCAGTTGCCGTTGGAATACTCCGGGGATAGAGATCATTGGCGTGATACTCACCGTGCGGTCTGACATTGTGAAGCAATGGGGGTCTAGAGTTAGGGTGCCTGTTTTGTATTTGGTTGCCTCTGGGTAGTTCACTGTTCTGAGTGTCGATGATCCCTCTGTCGAGAAAGCGGGGTGAACTGATGGGCCTTTTATATCCTTGTCTGGTGATATTCTGGAGCCTGGGCTCTCTGTTTTCACTGTTCCATGGGGAGAGATGGCTTCATGCGTTCTGACGCATCATGATATAGAGAGAGAGAAAATCACTCATGTATATTGACATCCAAACAAGCAAATAGGGCGAAGGGATTCTCGCAAGAGGGGAGAATGAGTAGATGATGCTAGTAGCTACAGGGCTCATGTACTGTACAGTCAGTGCTGTCGGGTACTTACTGTACACTCCATATACAACCACACCGAACCAATAGCAGCTGACCATCTCGCCCAGTTCCGCCAGCCTCCGGAGCTGTGTTTTAGTTATAGTCGAGGTGCGTAGCTGCGGATAGCATGAAGAGACCTTTCTTGTCTGGTCGTGGAGCATTGTTCACTAATAATGATGACTAGTTACTGTACGTATGTATGCATGTTCAGGGACCAGGGCACGGCGGGGTGGCCACTCCCGCCGGGGGCTGAATCCGAGCTCCCTGAAGTGGCAGGCGGTGGACAAAGCGGAGAAATGCAAACCAGGTGGGCGATGACGATCGAATCGTTGTCTACGAGTCGAGTCGAGTGTTTCCATTTGACGCATACTTACCTATTCCGTAATTTCGGCCAGTCTGGCCTCCAAGATTAATCGTCTTGTTCTTCTCCTCCTCCAGTGACTGAGGGGTGGACTGACGGTGAGCCAAGCTGAAGTCGTCTCCACTGCGGAGTCCCCTCTTTCAGTTCTGGCAGAACGTGTCATTTGCCGGAGTGTTTCTCTTCTTTGCTGACAGGACAGGGAGAAAGAGAGAGACAAGAGGCTGGGAAAGGTCAACAAAGGGTACTTGTTGTATCCTTGCATTTCCTTTCCTTCGCCCAACCCAGAAAAACCCCGAAGGTACTCGTACACTGAATCACAAACAAACGTGATCTCTTCGTCGGACTACATTGAAAATGCGCGCGCCTGTGTGGCGGTCAACCCATTTTTCTTTCTAGTTGAGGTGCGGAGAGACACTAAGCTACTCTGCTAGGTAACTTACTGCGATTAACAACTCCGCACAATCGCCCTTCCCGGCCCGCGAGAAACAAAATCAAATTTCAACTCAAGACATCCATCCCCAAGTGGCAACCCCTTGGGCGTTGAAGGGAAACCTGCCTCCCAAAAATGGCCGGGTGGACGGCAACACAATGGATTCCCTGGATGACTCTAATCTCGACCTGGATTGACGGGGTCGCCGCCAATCAACCTCCATCGATCTGCCCCACGCCCGATACCTTGAAACTCGGCGCCCAACTGATCCAGTGGCCTGTCTGCATCGAGACACGATGGGGACTTCAGCGTTCCGAGGTCGATGCCGCGACTTATATCCTTTCCCTGACGCCCTCGGTGGCAGCAGAGGCCGCATCGGTGACCGTGTTGGCGTCCTCTTCGAGTCATGAGGCGGCCACGAGTCCCACCTCGGCGGACGAGCAACAACAACAACAACAACAACAGCAGCAGCAGCAGCGGCACCGGTCCGACCAGGAGCTCGACACGGATTCTCCGCTCGACAATGCGAAGTTCCTGTCCTTCGAAGACTGGAAGAAGCAGAATTTGGCTAAGGTGGGACAGTCCGTGGAGAATGTGGGCGGGAGTCGCCGTGGTGGCGTGGCCCAGGGCAAGGAGGACCGGCGACGGCCCACGGGGATCAACAATGCGCTGGACTCGCTAGGTGACGACGCGGAGATTGAGCTGGATTTTGGGGGCTTCGGCGCAGATACGACGCCCGAGGCGACGCGGCCCACGGCGTGGACTGCGATGGTCTCGTCCTCCACCGAGGCGCGAGGCGAGCGGATACCGGGGGCCGGACACGAGGCCGGCGCTGATGGTGGGCCGGCGCAGGGCATGCCCCAGGCCGGGGTATCTCGCTCCAAGGATGCGGGGACGACCTGCAAAGAACGGTTCAACTACGCGTCCTTTGACTGCGCGGCGACGGTGCTCAAGACGAACCCGGAGTGCAGCGGGTCGTCGTCCGTGCTCATTGAGAACAAGGACAGCTACATGCTGAATGAGTGCCGGGCGAAGAACAAATTCCTGATCCTGGAGCTGTGCGACGACATCCTGGTGGACACCGTCGTGCTCGCCAACTACGAGTTCTTCAGCTCCATCTTCCACACGTTCCGGGTCAGCGTCTCGGATCGATACCCCGCCAAATTGGACCAGTGGCGCGAGTTGGGGGTCTACGAGGCCCGCAATACGCGGGAGGTGCAGGCTTTTGCGGTCGAAAATCCGCTCATCTGGGCGCGGTATGTGAAGATTGAGTTTCTCACGCACTACGGGAACGAGTTCTTCTGTCCGTTGAGCTTGATTCGTATCCATGGAACCACGATGTTGGAGGAATACAAGCATGATGGGGAGGCTAGTCCCGCAGATGATGACGAGGAGGAGATACCCGAAGAATCAACGGTGCCGGCTCCTATGGCGCCGGATTTCGAGGCTACAGTTACGGCTGAGGAAGCGCCTACTCCAGCGACTGCTGAGCCGGTCGACACGGTGTCGACCGGCGTCTCGGAAGATGAGGCTTGTCGCCAGTCTGGGTCGGACATGGATGTGCCAGAGCTGCGTGAGCTTCTGGGGCTTCTTGATACCTGTGACGACCAAGAAGCACCAGCGACTAGTGCTGGACCTGCAGTGGAAGCCCAGCCCCAGCCCTACCGATCTGTGTCAAACGAAGCGTCTCCATCCCAGGCGCAAGGTACCGTGGCTTCGGGAAAAGGCAAGGAAGCTTTGTCCGGAGAGCCAGGAGAACAAAAGGTGACGATTGCGGCGGGATCAACTACAACGGACTCATCATCATCCTCAATGACTGTTGCGAACTCCGAGACTGCATCCCCTAACGCCGTAACGGAAGCGGACAACAAGTCTACTGTGCTACCAAAGGATGAACCCAGCAGTATAGCGGAACCGACCAGGTCGAGTATGACCCAGCCACCGTCGGCAAACCCAACTACGCAAGAGTCCTTTTTCAAGTCAGTGCACAAACGACTTCAGATGCTAGAGTCCAACTCCAGTCTCTCGCTTCAGTACATCGAAGAACAATCACGAATCCTGCGCGACGCCTTTGACAAGGTCGAGAAGCGGCAGCTGACGAAGACGTCGACATTTCTGGAGGGCTTGAATGTGACCGTGTTGAATGAGCTGAAGCAGGTTCGAGATCAATACGATCAGGTGTGGAAGAGCGTGGCGTTGGAGTTTGAGCATCAGCGCATTCAGTATCACCAAGAAATCCATTCGCTCAGTTCGCAGCTGGGCGTGCTGGCGGACGAGCTGGTGTTTCAGAAACGCGTGGCGGTTATCCAGAGCATGATGATTCTCTTCTGCTTTGGGCTGGTACTCTTTGCGCGGGGCACCGCGAGTGGGTACATTGAGATTCCTCGTGTGCAGAACATGGTCACGCGATCGTACAGTCTGCGCTCTTCCTCGTCGCCGTCCCCTCCGTACGGCTCTCCGATGGTGAGCCCGACGTCAACGCGTGCGACGTCTTCTTGCCGACGCACCGGCGGCGGCCATCGACGGAACCTGTCTGAAGACTCGCAGGACGAGCTTCTCAGCCCAACGCTGGCGTACTCGCCGCCCACGCCCGTTTCCGATGCGCTGAGTTCGGCCGAAGATGAGGATCCGGAACAGCGAAGAGGGAGTACCCTGGAATTGCCGGAGGTGGTTCCACCGGTGCAGCGATCGCGTAGCAGCCCACCTGATCTCCCGCGTGAAGGGAGCACCACCCCTGGATCCGAAGCGTCTCCCGTGGAAATCGTCGATGACTTGCCAGGGCGATGAATGCCTGGCTTGGGGTAGAACAGTGGCAAATAGAAGCGCAGGGATATGATAGGTGGCCGAGGAAGCTTATCGGCATTTCTGATTGTCTGTCCCTGCGTGTTTCCAGGTCAACTCCATCCTTTGTCTTTGCTGTTTGTGCATCTGGATCTGTCTGTTTATTGGGCCGGCGTGGATTAGGTTGTTTGTATATTTGCATATGTATATCAGGACACGACACGATGATGACTAGACCACGTATAGCACCGTGTATTTTAATTCTAATTTGCTTAGAGGGGATGACGATCAAGGATGACTTGGATGCGTGCGTGAATGAATGAAGTAATGCTGGAAAATGATCTCATTGTGGTGGTTGCCATGCCAACAATCGACACGGTTTTTTTCCCGCTGGCCGGCCGCTGCTTATCCTTTTGAGCCTCCCTCTTTCTGCCTTCTCTGCCTTTCTCTGCCTCCACTCCATCACCACTCGAAGAACTTCCTCTCCAACGCGTTTATCAGACAACCCAGATCTCTCCTAACCCACTTCCTCCACAACACCCACCCACCATTACCGCCATGGACGCTCAACCCTTGACCGACCGCTCCACCAACACGCACTTGGGCACTGCCGAGGAGACCGGCAAGCCGATGAACTCGATGGACTACCACCGCCAGAAGCTGCAGGGCAAGTTGGCCAGCGGAGAAAGGTATGTACACAACAAAATCTGCCCCGGGTTGATTTGCTGTGTGATTGAACATGTTACTAACAAGGGAACGCGTGCAGTAACCAAGCCAGCTACGTGTCGCCCTCGGACGAACTCATGAGCCCTTGCTCGAAGAAGCTGAGCGACCTGAAGGGCAAGCGCTTCAAGAAGTATGTTTCTCTGTGATCTGTCTCTTTTGCTGTGCCAGATCCCTCAGCTATTTTGGGAGGATGAACTCAAGTCTAACAGCGAGATCCTTCCATCCATTCAGTGCCGGCAAGCCCCAATCATTGTTCGCCAAACTGGGCAAGAAGAACTTCGAACAGTCGGCGGCGGCCGAGGCTCAGCGGGAGAAGGAGAATACCGAGAGCGCGGTCTAAGACTACCACTGCACCACCATAAGAGGATGTTGATGTTTATGGGGTAGAGACCTCTCTTTTGTGTCTTGTTCTCTCTCTCGCGCGGGTCGCCGGAGAAGAGATTTTCCTTTCCTTTTTTACCTTTATTTTTTTTTCTTATTTTGACCTGGTTATCGTCTCGCCCCTTTGCTGAATGGCTCTGATAATCTTGGGTTTTTTTTTCTTCACGTTCGGGATTGTTTGTCATGCTTGGGATGAAATTGTTTTCTGTTTTTTGTTTTTTGTTGATGAAACTTCAATCATGGAGGGTTTAAAACTGGGAGGAAAATCAACCGAGGTTGGATTTGGGGTGATTACGGACGGGCAATGGACATGACTCTCTGGGGTTGGGTTGGTTGGACTTTGGAGCTGAGGGGATTCTTTATTATCATGATGACTTCTTTTTCTTTTTCTAATTCAATGGTTTGCTGATATGCTACTTTTCAATGGGCTTTTATGATATGATGTCCATGATTGAGTGTACTTCATAGTAGGATGACCACCACCAAATCCCCCAAATCAGCCGAGGTCCCGATCGGCATCTTCTCCGCTTTCTGTCGCTCTCCGCATTTCCAACCTTTCTTCTAATAACTACTAGTCCCACTCCATCGTCTGATCCACACGCTTTCTTTTCTTTTAATTCCAAGTCCATTCCTCTTGTCCCCTTATCCTTCACTCTTTCATTTAACCTAACCAAAGAACCACTCACCCAAACTCCAGAGAAGAACCACGCCATCAACAATGCCCGCCTCCACACGCATCCCCCCCATCGCCCTCCCCTTCGTCAGCGACCGCGCCAAGAAGACCCTGGATCTGGTATATCCCTAAGGCCCCCAAGGCCCCCATCCTCCCCCAGCTCAACCTCAGACTGCTAACACACCACAAACAGGTCGAAGAATTCGTCGAGAAGGACTGCATCCCCGCCGAGGCCGTCTTCCAGGCCCAACTGGGCCAGGGCGAGCAGCGATGGACCACCCACCCGGCCGTCATGGAGACCCTGAAGGCCCGCGCCCAGCAGCTCGGCCTGTGGAACATGTTCCTGCCCAAGAACCACTTCGCCCAGGGCGCCGGCTTCTCGAATCTGGAGTACGGGCTCATGGCCGAGTATTTGGGAAAGAGTCTGATTGCTTCCGAGGTAGGTCCCTCTTTTCTTTTGGGTGGAGTTGCTTTAGGGGTGAGGTTTGGGTTGAGTTGGATTGATGGATGGGGATGTGTTTCTCTTGCACCAAGAGTTGGAGAGAGTGATTTATGGCTAAGGCCAAGCTAACCCAGCCACCAAACTCAGGCAACGAACAACGCCGCCCCGGACACGGGCAACATGGAGGTCCTGGCCAAGTACGGCAACGAGGCGCAGAAGCAGCAATGGTTGACGCCGCTGCTGGAAGGCCGGATTCGGTCTGCGTTTCTGATGACCGAGCCGGAGGTGGCGTCGAGCGATGCCACGAATATCCAGCTGAATATTCGGAGGGAAGGGGATGAGTATGTCTTGAATGGATCGGTACGTTTCTTACTGTCATCATCACCACCACCACATGACCACAAACTGACTGTACCACCCACCAATTAATAAAAGAAATGGTGGTCCTCCGGCGCCGGCGACCCCCGCTGCGCCATCTACCTGGTGATGGGCAAATCCGCGCCCGACCACCCGGACCCCTACAAGCAGCAATCCGTGATCCTGGTGCCGGCGCACACGCCGGGGATCACGGTGCACCGGATGCTGACGGTGTACGGGTACGACGACGCGCCGCACGGCCACGGGCACATCAGCTTCGAGAACGTGCGGGTGCCCGCGGCCAACCTGGTGCTGGGCGAGGGCCGCGGGTTCGAGATCATCCAGGGCCGGCTGGGGCCGGGCCGCATCCACCACGCGATGCGCACGATCGGCGCCGCCGAGAAGGCGCTGGAGTGGCTGATCGCGCGCATCAACGACGACCGCAAGCAGACCTTCGGCCGACCCCTGGCCAGCCACGGCGTCATCCTCGAGTGGGTCGCCCGCTCGCGCATCGAGATCGAAGCCGCCCGCCTCGTCGTCCTCAACGCCGCCATCAAGACCGACCTCGGCGACGCCAAGTCCGCCCTCCGCGAGATCGCCCAGGCCAAGGTTCTCGTCCCCCAGACCGCCCTCGCCGTCATCGACCGCGCCGTCCAGGCCTACGGCGCCGCCGGCGTCTGCCAGGATACCCCCCTCGCCTACATGTGGGCCCTGATCCGGACGCTGCGCATCGCCGACGGGCCCGACGAGGTGCATCTGCAGCAGCTCGGGAAGCGCGAGAACCGCGACCGCAAGGCCGATATCCGCCAGAAGTTGGACTGGCAGCGCGGCGAGGGCGAGAGGTTGTTGAGCCAGTCCGGGTTGAAGATTAAGGGCCGGTTGTAGTTTTGGGTTCTCAGTTTGTTTGCTCTACTCGCATATTTGGTTGAATGAAGTAGGTTGATACCTTTTTGCAAACACTCAGGAAAACTAGGAAGAACTCCATGGGGTTAAGGTATATCGGAAATGTATGTAAGATTTCATAGCCTCATTCCCCATGCACGAAGTAATAACGAAAACCCATAGACCATGATAACATAAACAAGAAGAAAACCGCAGACAGATGTAGTTTATACCGGGATATAAGAAATTAAGAAAGGAACCCCCACCCCACAGCTTTTGTGTTCATTTCATGATTCATCCAAATCCAATACCACAGACACACACAAGATCATCAACGTCCGCACTCGCCCGCGAGTCAACCAGAAGGCAAAAGGAAACAAAGCTGGAGCACCACTTAATAATCATCTTCAGTGGCACCGTTTTTGCGCACCTTCTTGGCCCGCTTCTTGTTGGCCTTGAAGTGTTTCTTCGAGTTGGCGCTGCGCACCTCGGAGACGTCCATGCCGCGCTCCAGGGCGACCATCATGCGCTCCTTGCGGCCGGTCAGCTGCTTGCGCATCTGCTGGCCCTGTTCGGTGTACTGCGAGTTGAAGGGGAGCATCATCTGGCCGCGGGAGGAGGAGGCGCCGGGGCCGAAGAAGCCGCTGTCCAGGTTGCGGGCGAGCGAGCCCTGCACGGGCTGCTGCTTGGTGCCGGTGACGCCGAGGAGGGAGAGGGTCTCCGGGTCGACGTTGGCGCCCAGGGGGTCGGCCGCCATCATCTTGGCGAGCTGGGCCTGTCGGCGCTCCGGCAGGTGGGCCAGGTCGTAGAGCTCCTTGTTGAACTCGGCGGGGTCGATGGGCGCGCCGCCGTCGTCGACCGGGGGCGGGTGGCAGAAGAGGAGCTTGCCGTTGACGTAATCCTTCAGCACGTAGCGGGCGGCGCGCGACTCGTCGGGCTGGCCCAAACCCTGCGTGGAGAAGCCGCGGGCGCGGGCGTAGGCGCGCAGCACCTCGCTGCCGGTCGGGGTACCCGTGCCGCCTTCCTCAACGGAGCGCATGAGGATCTTGACACCGTAGACGTTCTCGAGGAAGTGCTTGGGGATGCGCTGGGCGACGAGCGAGGCCGGCCCCGTGAACTCGCGCTGCTGGTCGATGGGGAGGACACCGTTGACCACGAGGTCGGCCTTGGTGGTCGCGAAGTTGGGGAACACCAGACCGGGACAATCGCACAGCATTATCTCCGGCGACAGGTACAGCGTCTGAAAGTGCTTGGTCTTACCGGGGGTGGCCGACACGGACACCTTCTTGGCGCCCAGGAGCGCGTTGATCGTGCTGGATTTACCCACGTTGGGGTATCCGACCAGTCCGATGGTCGTCTTGCGCTTGATGGGCTCGCCGTCGGCCGTGTTGTTGTCGGGCAGGGTGTCGGGCGTGTTGGACAAGAAGAGCTCCTCCAGCTCGTCCACGTTGAGAATCTCCGTTCGCTTGCTGGCGGACGAAGAAGGCAGCTCCAATCCGCCGTCATGTTCTTCCCGCTGCGCTTCGCCGTCCTGAATGTTCATGGCCTGGGTGTTCTTCGCCAATTCCTGCTCCTGCTGCTGCTGCTGCTGCTCCTCATCAGATTCGCTGTCGCTCTCCGATCCAGACCCTTCCGCGAGGAGACGGGCCTCGTTCTGCTCCTTGGCCAGGTGCGCCGAGAAGAACCGGAAACTGATATTATGGCGATCGAAGTAGTCCGCCCACATGACCCGCTGCTTCTCCGTCAACATATCGGCCTTGTTCACCAACAGCAGGTTCTGCTTCCGGGGGTCGAGCTCCTTGACGTAGGCCTCGAGATCCTCCGAGCGGAAGTGCAGGGGATTCCGGGCGTCGACGATCTGGACGACGAGGTCGGAGCGCTCGATGACGCGCCACAGCTGACGCCAGACCTCCAGGTTGCGCTCGAAGGGGGTCATCAGCAGGTCCTGGTTCTCCTGCAGCTCGGCCAGGCCGCGGCGCCAGGACAGGAAGCTCTCCTTCTCCAGCTGCTCCAGCTGCTGGCGGGTGGTGGAGGCGTCCCACTGGGGGCGGCGCGGCACGGTTAGCCGGCCGCGGTTCTGGCGGTGCTTGGTGATGGCGGACTTCTCCTCGGAGGCGGACAGCAGGTAGGGGTTCTTCTGGTCGGCGTGGATGATCTTGACGTTGTTCATCTTCTCGGCGGTGAAGTCGGTGCCCGCCAGCTCGGCGGTGCTCAGGAACTCGTCCAACGCCGCCTGCTCGGTGATACTGCGCATCTTGACCCACGAGGCGTCCTGCTGCGCGTTGGTGACGTAGGTGTCGCCGTTCATGTCCTTGCGGACGATGCCGGCGTTGTGCGAGGCCTTCTTCTGGTTCGAGGCCTTGCCTTTGCCGAACCGATCCTTCATGAGGCTGTTGCCCAGCCCCACGGCGTTCTTGGATTTGGCCAACACCATGGTGGCGAAGGGTGACTGCGGAGCAGTTCAGAGGAGGGATATAAGGGAGAGGAAGGAAAGGAAAGAGGTATAGAAGGAGAGGGAGGGTAAAGGGAAAAAGAGAAGGGCAAAAGGGTAGGGGTAGATGTAGTTGAGGAGGGGGAAGATTAATTGCAGGATGATTTGTAAAGGTGAAGAGAAAAGAAGAATTAATCCCACTTGCGGGTTTTGGCCCAATCAGATTTGCCCCGCGCGGATAAGATAAGGCTGACTCAGCACTGAGCTGTTTTTCCCTCTTTTTTTTTTTTTTTTAGTTTTGGTCTCTGCAGCATCGGCAACCGGAGTGGAAGTCGAATGCTGAGAAAAGCAGACCGAAAGTTCAATTGGAGGATTGAGTCGACATCAATATCTCAAGACCAGTACATCTCCTGTAGTCTACAACGTGTGTTTGTATAGAGCCCATCGCATTGCGCACCCACCGGGTCCTCGATAAGCACACCCACGTGACTTTATCTCCCCCACGAATCTCTTGAATTTTCGCCCAACGCCCAAAGCTGCATCTTTCGATTATTCTCCAATCATCCCAATTCCAACGCTTGTCCTCGGACGACCTACCGCTAAAAATGCCTCCCCGGAAGCAGTGGATGTAAGTCTTTCTCCCCCTGTATGGGACTGGTTAATCCAAGCACTAACCCATCAATTTCCAGCGACAAGAAAAACGCAACCACCTACCAACTCTTCCACCGCTCCCAACATGACCCTCTCATCCACGACCCCGGCGCCGACGACCGCGTGCTCGCTCCGGTGTCCGGCCCTGCCCCTACCAACGGCAGCAGCGCTGCCGCCGACGCCCACCGGGGCCAGAACCTGGCGACGCTGACCCAGCAATTTGGTCCCGGCGCCGTCCGCAAGAACGAAGGCGAGGCGGCCAACTACGGCATTTTCTACGACGACACCAAATATGACTACATGCAGCACCTGCGGGAGCTGGGGACGGGCGCCGGGGACGCGCACTTCGTCGAGGCCAAGAACAACCAGGCCGCCTCAGGCAACAACAACAAGGGCAAAATGAAGCTGGAGGATGCGCTGCGGCAGGTGTCGCTAGACGACGGGCAGGGTAGTGAGTTCGGGGGTAGCTACGCGCCCAGCGAGATGCGGTCGACGGCGACGGCGTTCTCGCGGAAGCCCACCTACCAGGACCAGCAGAACGTGCCGGATGCGATCGCGGGCTTCCAGCCGAACATGGACCCGCGGCTGCGCGAGGTGCTGGAGGCGCTGGAGGATGAGGAGTACGTCGACGAGGCGGACGATGACGATCTGTTCGGGCAGCTGACCACGCGGGCGGAGGAGATGGACCAGGGTGACTGGGAGGATACGCTGTACGATGATTTCGACGAAGAAGATGATGAGGGGTGGGAGTCGGACGCGACGGAGAAGGCGCCCGTGCAGACGGACACGACGGCCGCCAAGGCGCAGTACGAGAAACGAGCTGCAGCCGGGGCCGGCGGCGATGCGGAGGAGATGATGCCGGAACATGACGCCCCGGCGCCGGACATGCACCCCGAGGATCAGGGCTGGATGCGCGAGTTCGCCAAGTTCAAGAAGGACGTCAAGGCCGGCGGCGCCAAGCCCGCCGTGCCCGCCGCCGCCCCTAGTGTCGTGCCCTCCGAGCAGCAGAGCACGCTGGCGTCGACGGTGTTCACGGTCGGCGGCACGCCGATCCGTCGCAAGAAGCGCAAGGGTGCCCTGACGAACCCCTCGGCGTACTCGATGACCTCGTCGGCCCTGGCGCGCACCGAGGGCCACCGGCTGCTGGACGATCGCTTCGATCGCGTGGAGCAGCTGTATGCGCTGGACGAGGAGGATGAGTTCGATGACAGCATGTCCATGGTCAGTGGCATGACCGGCATGACTGCCATGACCGGCATGTCGGCCATCTCCGAGGCCCCCAGTCTAGTCGATGCCAACGGGCAGACGGTCAACCCCCGCCACAACTTCACCTCGGTCATGGATGACTTCCTCGCTGGCTGGGACGACAACACCGGGTCCCAGGCCAAGCGCAAGGGTGTCAAGTACAAGCGCGGTAAGCACGGCAATGAGGCCATCGGCATCCGCATGCTGGATGAGGTGCGCCAGGGCTTGGGTCCGGCGCGTCTGGGTTCCTCGGGACGAGTCCCTGGACGGGCGTAAAGTAAGGTGGTGGAATTATAGGGGGAGGAATGAGGGGCCGCAGGGCGATTTTTCTCTCATGGCTGCTACTTCGTGTGTGTGTGCACATGCTTTCAACGATTGCGACGATACCTTTTACCCATGGCATGTTCTGGCTGGAAAAATAAAAGATTTGCGGGCTTTCTCTCACATAAGGCGTCTCGGTTTACGGTTTTGTTTAACTTTTTCCCACCTTGCATGGTAGATAGACGTCAACACAAATAGTCTTCATCAGTTGCTTTTCACACAGACCCTAAGAAATGGCCGGATGCATACAGAGGCAACACACCCGCATAATAGTTCATGTAATCATTATACAGTGGACGACATCATTTATACATATACATACATCAAGTGCCGAAAAGGGGGTATACAAAAAGTCTATCATCTCTAAAAAGCCCCTCCCACCTTCTCAGTAATCCACATGGCCAGACGAACCTTCCAGCTCACCCGCCGTTCCGTGCGCCGCAGATCCTCTCGAGAGATGGCCTTGGAATCCTTCTGCAGCCAGTCCGTCTCGGCGCCGAGTCGGCGTTTGAGCGTCTGGTTTCCCGTAACGACCACCGCACCCACTTCCAGATCCAGACTATAGCTGCGCTTGGTGTAGTTGCTGCTGCCGACAAATGTCAAGCTGGGATATTCCTCCCGGGGCAGGGTAATCCACAGACCCTTGGCGTGGTAGGTCCAGCCACCAGGCTCCCCGACGGTGCCCCGGCGCCATTCCTTGAGCTGGACGGAATCCGTGCGCTTGGCCAAGGCGACCTGGTCGAGGAACTTGGCGGAGAGATGCGTATATGCCGCGGGGAGCATACCAGAAATGCCCGAGGACCCATAGAAGCCGTTGGCCCACGGGGAGGCTGTGAGCACGGTCCCGCGGGTGCTGATCGCGGTGTGTGACGGCGAGGTGCTGGCAATCAAGAGGGAGGAGAGGACAGGGTGGATGTTGAAGTACCCCGCTGTGAAGAGCCAGCGGGCACCGGAGAAGGCGGTAGAGGTCGAGAGGAGACGGAGGATGGAGGTAACGGCTGGGAATTCCGTCGAGGTGTCCGGATTTAACAGGGAGGTGAACTGGGCCACCGGGTAGACGTAGGCATGAGTGGAAGTCTTGGGCTCAAGTGCTTTCTGGGTGTCGATGTTGGGATGGAAGAAGGGCTTTAGGAATGTCGAGGAATACGCGATGAACTTCTGCGGGTCGTCCAGAGGGCAAGGAGCACCATTGGCCTTCGGCCAGTCCAAGAGGTATCCGGCGGCGTTGTGCGGATCCGGGAGCACTTGGAAGCTGAGACTGCAGACGGCGTGGTGGATGCTGGCATAGTAGTCAGCGAGCTCTTTCGAGCTGAAGACGTGGTATCGATCCAGGCGGTTCGTGAAGTAGTCGTTGGACAGGTTTGCGCTACGCTTGCAATCAGTAATTGGGCCTGTGCACGTCAGGAACACATATAGCATACCCTGAGAGGATAATCTCATCGTCGAAGCCATACAGCTTCATGTGTTGCAGACCCCATCCCTCGTTGATCCTGCGGGGAATCCATTTCTTCTTGAGACCCGTCAAGTTTGGAGTATGGAACATTCGGATCTCGACACGTTCTGGTCCATGGTTTGTAACGAGCGAAGCGAGGAGCGATGCGCATGAGGGGTCCGGCGACTCGCGGGTTCCTCGAAGGCAGTCGGTGAGAATGGAGACCTTGAGGTCGGGGTTTTCCCGCAGCGCTTGGTCCAGAGTTGCGATCAACTCATGCTCAGTCTTGCCGATGTACAAGGTCGAGAGGTAGATGCGTCGTTTGGCGTTGCGGATCTTGCTCTATATATACGAGAATGTCTTGATCTTAGTCCCTCCACGCTCTCCTCTGGCGCATCCAATCCTGACTTGACTCAATGGTCCAATCATACCTTAAGGGTGCTGTAGAAGCTGGCAGGGGAGTCCAGGATTTCAATCCTCTCGGCACTGATCTCGAAGCAAGGTGAAATCCGATCCAGCTCGGTGGTGATACTGCCCAACGGCGAAGCGGCCGAGGGCACAGTCGAATGGGCGCTGGCATGGGAAGAATGGGCCGAGAATCTGCGCTCGCAAAGAAGATTCCTCCGCGCAGCAGGTCGGCGCACCGCACACCGAAGGGCATTGCCCCCAATCCGTCCGAACATCCTCCAAGTCGTTTGTTCTGGCAACAGAAAACAAGAAAACTGGGGAATCCGGAGGACAATTGGGGCTGTCGCGAGCGGGAATCGGGAAAGATAACAGAAGCAACGGGTGTGCAAACTCCGCAAACACCCACCAGTTAAGCTAAACCGGATCGGGCGGGCGGGCAACTCCCGCCGGCGATGCAAGAAGACGGAGTCGACGACGACGCCGACGAAACCACCTGCTTGCTTTGTTTCAGTCCATTGGCGTTTGACGGCTCCCTACACATCTATTCAAAATGTCGACTATTCTTCGTACGCTGCGCAACTTGCGGCGCATTGGCTTCAAGGTGAGAATCGAGGTGCCCACAATCGCTTCATAGGACCTCCTTGCTAACTTCCATCTTCGCACAGGAATATGGCCACCAGATGAACGTATGTACCCCTCGGAGGGCCGGAGATGCCGGGTTCGAATAGAAAAGGCACTGACGTTGCGTTTGATTGCTACGATGAATATAGTATATTGGTAGGTTCGCCGCGCTGAGGACGAATCCAGCCGCAAGAAATAAATGTCTGACGCAATGGCACTTGCAGGTGATACCAAGGCCGGTACCTTGATTGGCACTGATCGTTACGGAAACAAGTTCTACGAGAACATGGAGGAGGAGCTTCCTCGTGAGTGAAGTCGGAAGCTGATCCTGTCGAAAAGCTTTTGTTGACGGTCGTCTAGTCCGTACGCGCTGGGTGGATTACAAGGAGCACGAATACGACCCCTCTCAGATCGAGCCCGGATGGTGAGTATCTGGCTTTTCCTGACTTGAGTCTGCAGCGGCGCGATCTCATTTCTGACTCCGAAAAAAGGCACGCTTGGATCTCCTACATGGTCGATGCCCCCCCTACAGTAGACAGGGCCCTGCAGACTGGCGTCCGCGCTTGGGAGCTGCCTGAACACAGACCCACCCTGACCCTGAGCCGCGCTGCTTTCAAGACCTACTCGACGTGAGTTAACTCCGGCTGTAATCTGCGTGAATGAACCGGTGTACTAATCCGATGATTTCAGTACCCGCCCTAAGTACTCTGCTTGGACCCCCGTTGCGGCTCCCCGGTAGATCTACCGATCACCTAGCTCTATTGTTCCATGCCTTGGACTTGATGTGTACATAAAGATGTCTTGTTTTCCACTTCAAAACTATTAACCGTTTCCCCAGTTAGTCTATGTCTCCTCCACTTGCAAGCTCTATATAGTTGTTATCGTCTATACACCAAGATCACCGAGGTATCATATTAAGCGAACCAGCAAAGGAAAAGGAAAAATTGGCGCCTGCCGTAGACCTAGATACACATGTTCAAAGGACATATATACCAGAGCCGATGCTGGACCAGTGTCGAATGGGACGGCGATCTTCTAATTCGATGCACCACCAGAGCACCTCTTTCAGTTTTTCAATCTGCCCCCCTGCTTCATATGCCCGAGAGAGTGCATACCAAGCTTCGCTGTTGTCCCAAGAGCTGCCTAATTTTGTCAACCCGGATAGCAGGCCAAAGGCTCGCTCCCGCGCTGCGATGCGGTTGAGAAGTTGAGGCTCTTCCTCCTTTTCAGCCTCAGCAGACCCTGCCTTTGCATCCGTGGGAAGAGTTGCCGCAGCATGGTTTGATTGCTTTCTGGGCTCGCTGAGAGGGGCGGACAGAGGAAACATGGAGGGGTCGAGTTCAATGCCTGGTCTTGGAGGCTCCAGAGGGATTTTTCGATCGAAGATGTCGAGAAGTAGGTTGGATAGGCCGATCGTGGCTTTCGGATGATTCAGTTCATGTCGAAGAGCCTTCTCAAAGTGTTCCATGGCTTCATGTGGACGCTCCTGTGCGTTTGACAGAAGGCCCCGCTCCGCGTAAAGGTCGGCCCAGAGGTCCTGGCAGCTCTTGGGACAGCCCCATCCCCGTTCACGGAACGCCCGTGCGGATGATTCCTGAGAAGCCACAAGGCTCTCGAGGTGCGTGATGTGCTTGGATGCTTCTTCGCATGCTTCGTGTGCGTCGTCAAATGATGACGCGCGACGATAGAGTCCAGCAATAAGTAGCCAGATGTTGACAAGTATAGAGAGAGCGTGCTTCTGGGATTGAACTGGTGGGACCTTGGTCACAGCTCTGGTGGGTGAGTCAAATGCATAGGATAGAGGTAGTCGAGTGTCTTGTACAGGCGGCTGATTGGGGTGTCCAATTGGAGGGGGTTGTTGATTGTGCTCAATGTTATGAGGTATGGACCCCAGCGGCTGTCGGGCGGTTGACGGTTGAGCAGCTGTATCAGTGACTGCCATTCGAACCATATCTGGAGAGGGCGGCTGGGGCGCAGCATCAGGACCAGCCTGAGCTGCGTTCTTGCCGATCACTTGATTGTGATCCTGGTCTTGCACGACATCCGGTTTCTGGAGGGTATTGCTCCTAGATCGCAGTTTCCGAGACCCAGACCCTGCAACGGCTTGCTTTGCGGCAGAAGCATCGTTAGTGACTTGTATGGCGGGTGCCGCATCGCCGCGATCAAGGTGAGGGAGTGCATGGCCATCGGCCTTTAATTCAGGAGCAGTTTCTCCTCTCGCACGATGTCCACGGTGCCGTCCAAAGATACTTCCCCGGAGACTTTTCACTGTCCCAGAAGAGCTCTTAGGTGGTGCAAGATGGTCAGCCGGTGCATTACTAGGTTTTGTCTCCGTTTCAAGGCTCAACGATCCGAATAAGGTGGCAAAAAGGCTGAGAAGCTGTTCGCTGTGGTTCAAAGCGTTCTCGGGCCCCTCGAGGAGCTCAACGAACGCGAGCTGCGTCATGCGAGTCTCAATTATGCGTTCCTTCTCCCTGTCGCGCAATTGATCTATTAGAGCATGGGTCAATCCAGTGACTGCCTGCTCCTGGAAGTTATGATTATTCTTCTGTGGCCGTCTGTCGCTGTGAGCTAAGGAGGTAATTGTAGCAGGGAACTGCTCAAAAGCGGCTTCACAGGAGCGCTCGGCAATGTCGAAATCTTCCTTCGCACTAAGAAGCAGAGCGAGTAGATGCCAAAGGGGAACAAGTTCCCGTTCGCGAGTAAAGTCGGCCGATCCGGCTCGTGGCTGTGGATCAGATGTCAAGGCCGACCGGACATACTCAACAGCACTATCGATGTCCCTGTCTTCGGCCAACAACAGAGCTAGAGTGTAAAGCGAGGACCGATTGAATTCGTCTTCAAGCTCCGGTGCCAAACTTTTGTCAAGGTAATCAATTGCCTCCGCGCGAATATCGTTGCGGTCCTCAGTAAAGGGCGTCCAGTAAGCCCAGTTGGCTAGTCCTATGCCAATACCTCTATAAGCTGCGGCAAGATCCAGCGGAGAAACCACCTGGGAGCTAGCTGAGTTCGTTTGTTGCATGATAACGATGGCACCGTTCTCCTGGTCTTTGTTTTCTTGGACATGCTTTGCGACAAACTTCTTCAGTAACTTTGTTAAGTCTCTTGCTTTTTCGGCTTCTTTGTCGGAGCCGAAGCAGCACAGCATGGTCACACCCTCCGCGATGGTGCGAAGCAGGTTACCATCATTCTCCAGCTCTCCGGACTCCGCCCCTTTCTCGGCCCTCTCTTTAGCACTAGTCACAATCTCTATGTAGGAGTCAAGCGCTTTGATAGCAAGAACAGAGTCACCCAAGGCACAATGAACATGAAATAGACGTCGAAGAATCAAGTGCGAATGATACGTCTTGGTCGCAGCACGATAAAGGATCTGTTACGACAGAGTTAGCATGCTTGCTTATTTGCTTTGTAGCCCTGTCGCCCCTGGTTCCATGGTGAAAACATACATCGAGGACGTTTCTGCCGACAGCATTTTGGCCTCCTTCCCCGAGCTCTTCATCCGTCCAGTCGGGCCCACCAAGCACCTGCCAGTTGGAGATCACTTCTTCAACCCATTCTTCAACCTGCGGGTTGCTGGAATTGGCGGAAGGGAATTTCGTCTCACGAAGAAGATTCGCCTCGTAGATAGCTTCTACGCGTCGGATTTCGCTAGCCAATTGTGGGCGTTCAGGTCCGTTGGTGGAAGGGCTATATGGCACTCCATGTCGCAGGATCGCCGTCAGGAGCTGGTAATACGACTTCCAAAGTGATGACCGGAGTACTGCTTCAGTAGAATTGTTCGTATGCACTGTCTGAGAAGCAGTCGCTTGCTTGCTATTAGGATGAGAAGCCCACATTCGGAGAAATCCCAGCGCGGTCGTCACGGTTTGTGCATCGGTAGCGGCAATGTCGCGCAGAGCATCTTCCGCGGTGATGGAGGCGCCTTCAGCCAATAGCTTCTCCGACCAGTACAGAAATTGAGGATTGCTCAATGTGGAACCCTGCAGGTGGTTATTCAGCCATGGTGTGACCGATTCGAGAGTTTCTAGGGCATCACCGGCGTCCGACACCATGCGTTGCGAGGCAGCTATGCATGTATTAGCGCATTGCACGACAGTATTTGAATCTATCCGCAGTGAATGAACCCACCTTTCAAATAGCATGCTTTCACAAGGCAGGCCTGCGTCCACGGGGAGAGCTCTTCCCCCGCACTTTCGAGGTCATGGATTGTTTCAGTGAAATTGTCCGGAAACCGAGATGTTGCTAAGCTTGGTTCATTCAGTGCCCAGTGTACCCAACCCAGGCAAATTTGTGCTTGAAACACCTCCTGTTTAGGTCCTTCTGCTCGATTGACGGTAGATAGGAGGGACGGGACTAATTCATGGAGGCTGGAAGAGGTGGAGGTCGATCGGGGAGTTGATGCTTCTGTCTGGACATGCGATGCGATTTGGTATTCTGCGCTGGCAACCTCCAGAAGACCTGAGAGAGCGACACTCGTCAACTTATCTTCCGGCTAGTGATAATCATGGGTGCGAAGGGCAAGTTGGCATTACATGTCTTTTGCGGAGCATGCTTGGTCACCTTCCGGATCAATTCAGGAACCTCATCCCATTTGTCCTGGCAGCGCGCATTTTCCAGGGCAGAGATGTAGCGATGCCCCTTATCGGATTCTCGACCCTACCGTAAGGAGACAAGTAATCAGTAAAGTGTCTGTTTTGAGGGGGAGTGAGGGGGAGTGCCTGAAGCGGGTGTGTTCGTCGCTGCATACCGTCATGATCAAGCTAGGTGGGACACGGATGGAGAGGGGAAAGATAGCAAGAATGGAGGGGAGAGAGAGACAGGGAAAAGACAGGCAGGCAGGCAGACAGGCTCATAACAATGCAAATAATAAAGAATGAATGGAATGCCCCCTCGGAGGCAACAGTTTAGTTAAAGGTGGTGGTAACTAACTTAGTGGAGCGGAATCAAGATTGAACTGACGCCAGCGATCATCAACCCGCCGGCCGATTAGGGGAAAGGGGACCCGCTCCCGGTAATATTGATGTACACTGTACGGAGTACTGTGTATTGTGTCTTTTTTTTTACCGTTCCGCGGTCCAGGCGGAGCTTCACCAAAAAATTTCCTAGACTCAATTTGGAGAACAGAAACACAAACCTAATCTTCTCAACTTTGCGACCTTCGCACTTCAATTGCTTCTTGCTCGCTTTGTGCTGCAAGGTTCGATCGCTGTCGCTCACCATGGCTTATATGGCAATGTCACTTCATGCGGTCAACCACCGCCTGACCAATATCCCCGTCAAGCAGTTGCCTCCGCTCGCCTCATGTCTCGCAGCTTCACTAAGTAATTGCGGGGAGCTTTTGTCTACTCCGCAGAGCCAGAAGTCCAAGTCGGATGCGGACAATGCGGTCCAGGTGCATAAGCTTATGACCCGACTGGCCAGTCTGCTGCAGGATCGAAGCGTTGAAGGACGCTGGACAGCGGTGGTTCTTGTCAAGGCGTTGGTGGAAGCCGGTCAATGGGAGGTTCTTCGTGGATGCGAACCGTTCGTCCGCGGTCTTATCGGGATCTTGAACGTAAGAAGCCCTCTTCCTGAATCTATGCTATAGTGGTCACTAATTGCATTGCTTTTGTCTTCTTCAAGAAACCCGATCCTGTTTCCACGAAGAAAATGGCCATCATCACCTTGACAAGGATCTTCCACCTGACCTACCAATACCCGACCCTCGTCCGCGAGATCACAACGCCGTCTCTTCCTGGCTTTATCACTGCGGCCTTGAACTTAATTTCTACCAAGCCATCCTCTGAGCCTACTCGGAAGCTGAAGCCTAATACCCCTTTCGTGGACATTGTTCTCAA